GCAGTCCCGGGAGCCCATGCCTGTGGTTGTGGCCCAGGCGAAGCCACCCGCCCATGGTCCCCTGTGGCTGTGACCGGTCCTGGATGCCTGCGGCCAGCCAGAGGGAGGGAAGCCTGGGTACCTGGTGCCTGTGACCGGCTGGTGGAGGGAATCCTGGGTCCTGGATATGTGGCAAGGCAGAGGAGGTTAGCGGTGATCAGGCCGGTTGGGGAGCAGTTAGGGTCGATCAGGCAGGCTGGGGAGCAGGTAGGGTCGATCAGACAGGCAGACAGAGGTGGTTAGGGATGATCAGGCAGGTGAGCAGTTAGGAGCCAGAGGTCCTGGATTGGGAGAGGCAGTTAGACATCACTCGAGGGGTCCCGGATTGGAGAGGGTACAGGCCGGGCTGAGGGAACCTCCCCTACCCCCATGCATGAATTTTGTGCTTCGGGCCACTAGTATATATAAAGTCTAATATGCAAATTGTTCCCATGGGAGTTCGACTGGGAGACTGGTCGCTCACTATGATGTGCGCTGACCACTAGGGGGTGGCACAGAATGAAAGAAGGCCTTGACTGGCAGCCAGAAGGCCCTGGTTGGCCCTGATCACTGGCCAGGCCCCATGGAGAGTGGGCCTAAGCCATCAGTCAGACATCTTTAGTGCTGACATGGAGGTGGGAGGGCTCCGACCATCGCCACTATGCTTGCCAGCCTTGAGCCCAGCTTCTGGCTGAGCAGTGCTCCCCCTGTGAGATGCACTGAACACCAGCAGGCAGCACCTGCATTGATCGTCTGCCCCCTGGAGGTTAGTGTGCCTCATAGCAACCAGTCGATCCACAATTCAGTTGATTTGCATATTAGCTTTTTATTATATAGGATATTTTGTAAGGCTATAGCTGCCATAGATAGTGATTCACTCTGATGGATCTGGGCAAAGTCAATTGAAAATCTGGAAAGGATTTGCTATCATAAATGCCATTAAGAACATTTAGGATTCATAGTATGAAATAAAAAAAAAAATCAACATTAATAGGAGTTTGGAAGAAATAAATTCCAGCCTTCATGGATGATTTTGAAAGGGATTCAAGACTTCAGTGGAGGAGATAACTATACGTGGAAAAGGTGATGAATATAGCAAGGGGTCCCTCTCACATCCAGAACTGCTGGCTCCCAACTGCTCGCCTGCCTGCCTTCCTGATTCCCCCTAACTGCTTCTGCCTGCCAGCCTGATCACCCCTTAACTACTCACATGCCAGCCTGATTGATGTCTAACTGCTCCCCTGCCAGCCTGTTTGCCCCCAACTTTCCTCTTCTGAACTTCCCTCTTCTGCTGGCCTGGTCATCCCTAACTGCCCTCCCCTGCAGGGTTGATCGCCTCCAACTGCCCTCCCTTGCAGGCCTGGTCCCTCTCAACTGCCCTCCCTTGCAGGCCTGGTGCCTCCCAACTGCTCTACCCTGCTGGCCATCTTGTGGTGGCCATCTTGTGTCCACATGGGGGCAGGATCTTTGACTACATGGGGGCAGCCATCTTCTGTGTTGGAGTGATGGTCAATCTGCATATTACTCTTTTATTAGTTGGATAGAGGCCTGGTACATGGGTGGGGTCAACTGGTTTGCCCTGAAGGGTGTCCAGGATCAGGGTGGGGGTTCCCTTGGGGCATGGGGCAGCCTGGATAAGGGGCCTGTGGTGGTTTGCAGGCTGGCCACATGCCCCCCTACCCAAGCAGAGGCCCTGGTATCTGGAATTTATTTACCTTCTACAATTGAAACTTTGTAGCCTGGAGCGGAGCCAAGCCTTCTGCTTGTTCCATGGCTGCCGCCATTTCTATTTGGACTTGTTTACCTTATATAATTGAAACTTTGTAGCCTTGAGTAGAGGCTTAGGTGGGCTAGGGCAGGTGGAAAGCTTGGCTTCTGTTGCTTGGGAAACCCAAGCCTCCCTTCTGCTCTCTGTGGCTGTAGTCATCATGGTTGGGTTAATTTGCATACTCGCTCTGATTGGCTCGTGGGTGTGTCTTGTGTGTGTAGTGAAGTGATGGTTAATTTGCATATTACTCTTTTATTAGGTAGGAGGATTTAGACTAGAGGTCTGGTGCACTAAATTCATGCATGGGGGGTAGGGATACCTCAGCCCGGCTTACACCCTCTCCAATCCAAGACCCCCTCGGGGAATGTCTGACTGCCTCTTGAAATACAGGACTGCTGGCTCCCAACCACTCGCCTGCCTGCTGCCTGATCGCCCCTAACTACCTCTGCCTGTCTGTCTGATTGCCCCTAACTGCTCCCCAACTGGCCTGATTGCCCTTAACTACTCCCTTTGCTGGCCTTATTGCTCCTAATGGCCTCTGCCTCACCCCGCACCTGGAATCCAGGCTTCCATCCTAGCCAGCCACAGGCACCCAGCACCTGGGCTGGCTTAGCCACTGTCCGCAGCCGCAGGGCACCATGGGTGGGCGCTTTTGCCTGGACCGTGGCTGCAGGAACCTTGGCCTGTGGGGTGTGGGACAGGTAGCTTGTCCCTCTTCTGAGCTGTAGCCCCAGCCACTGGTGCCTGGTACAGCAGGCTATGAGGCTTGTCCTTTTCCTGGGCTTCAGCCTGGCTGGTCCCCATTCCTCTCTCACAAGCTCATTTGTGCCTGGCTGATCCCCATTCTTTTCTCCCCAGTGTTGAGTGTCTGAGCCGGTATGACATAGCAGTGTGAGGGTGTGATGACCATTTGCATATTAGCGCTTACAGATTTTTGAACTTGTAGAGACTTATTTTGTGTCCTAACATGTTTTCTGTCATTTAGAATGATTCATGTGCACTTGAGGAGAATGTATATTCTGCAGCTTTGGTGTGAATTGTTCTATAAATGTCAATTAAACCCATCTGATCCAGTGTGTCTTTTAGAGTCTGTTTCCTTGTCAATTTTTTGTCTTATTCACTGAAGTCAGTGGGGTGTTTAAGTCCCCTAATATGACAGTCTTGCTGTCGTTTTCTCCCTTAAAGTCCTCTAGCAGTTAAAAAAAAAAAATATATATATATATATTTTTTTTTTTTTCTTGTGATAGCCTTTATTTTGAAGTCTATTTAGTCAGATAAGAGTTTTGCTACCGCAGCTTTTTTGTTTGTTTCTATTTACATGGAATAATTTTTTCCCATTTCTTCAATCACCCTGTGTGAGTCTTTTGTTCTGAGGTGGGCCTACTGTAAGCAGCATATAATTGGGTCATGCTTTTTATTTTATTTTATTTGTTCAGATACCCTATGTACTTTGTTTGGAGTATTTAATACATTTTTATTTAAGGTTATTGATGGGTATTATTTATTGCCATTTTAATTATATATGCCTATATTTCTCTCTTTCGATATTCTCATTACAACAGTCCCTTTAGCATTTCTTGTAGTGCTGTTTTGGTGGTGATAAACTCCTTTACCTTTTACTGGTTTGGGAAGCTCTTTATTTCACCATTTATTTTGAATGGTAATCTTGCTGGACATAGTAATTTTGGCATCCGGTTCTTTTCTTTTTCTTTTTTTTCTTTTTTTTAATTAAGAACATTTTTTTAGATAATTTTCTTCCAAATAGAACAGTTGTTTTTTGTTGTTGTTGTTGTTGTTGTTGTTTGTTTTTAAATATATTTTATTGATTTTTTTACAGAGAGGAAGAGAGAGGGATAGAGAGTTAGAAACATCGATGAGAGAGAATCATCAACCAGCTGCCTCCTGCACACCCCCTACTGGGGATGCACCCGCAACCAAGGTACATGCCCTTGACTGGAATCGAACCCGGGACCTTTCAGTCCGCAGGCCGATGCTCCATCCACTGAGCCAAACCAGTTTCAGCTGGTTCTTGCTTTTCATTACCTTGAATACTTCATGCCAATTCCTTCTGGTCTGTAGAGTTTCTGATCAGGTGTCAGCCTTATTGGAGCTTCTTTGTAGGTAACAAATAGCTTTTCTCTTGCTACTTATCAGATTCTCTCTTTGTCTTTAATTTTTTGCATTTTAATTATGATGTGTCTGGGCATAGGCCTGTTTCAGTTCTTTCTCTGTGCCTCCTGAACTTGTGTGACTTTTTCCTTCACCAAGTTAGGTAAGTTTTCTGCCATTATTTCTTCAAGCACATTTTCTATCCCATGCTCACTTTCTTCGCCTTCTGGCATACCTATTAAATGAATGTTGCTACTTTTCATGTGTCCCTTTCCCTTAAGTTGTCCTGTTTTTTTAAAAAAAAAATTTCTGTTGGTTTTCTGATTGAGTAATTTTTTCTACCCTGTCTTCTAATTCACTAATCTAACCATTGTCTTGTCCTAATCTCGGTAGTCCTTCCACTGTGTTCTTTATTAGTGCTATATCATTTTTCATAGTTACTATATCTTTTCTCATGTTGAGAATCTTTGCGATCATTATTCTGAACCCTGTATCTGATAAATTTATTTTCTCCCTTTTATTTAACTCTTCTTCTGGAAAATTCACTTGTTCTTTCATTTTTGGCTTTTTTTTTTGGCTCCCCATTTTGGCTGACTGTTTGGGTTTGTGTCTGTGTATTAGGTAGGTCAGTTCTGCTACGACTTCCAATCTCTAGTGTAGGACAATGCCAGCCGCTGTTTGTGACTGCTAGATAGAATAGGTTTTAGCTACACTAGCATTCAGGGCTAGTTCCTGTTATTTCAGTTAAGTTTTATTTTTAATTTTTACAAATTTCTCTTTTAAAGTATGAGATACATACCATAAAGGACACAAATCATAAGCTTGAAGAATCACAAAATGAGCATATTTGTACAATCATCTCAGTCAAAAAATATAACATTACCAGAACCCCCAGAAGACCCTTCTGCTGTCCTATCTCAGTCACTACCATTCTCCTCTTCTGCATGGCTAACCATTATCTTGACTCCTTATACCACTTTTTAATTTTAAGGTGATTTTTGAACTTCTAATTTATTTAACTGGTTCACTAAAAGTATTTTTCTAATCTTTGAGGGAATAATGCATTGATCATGATTCTGAACCTGAAATTTTGTTTCCTTTTTAGAGTGGACTTCAATGTTCCTATGAAGAACAACCAGATAACAAACAATCAGAGGTAAGGTTCCTGCTAAGCATTGTGCTAGGTTATGATGTGTGTTGGTGTAGCTATGAACGATGAAATGGTTTTCCTTTCTTATCATACAACTAGGATAATTTAAGTGATATGAATGAACATGGATTTTTACCAAACTACCATTGGTCTGCTTTCTTTGTGTTGTTTCTTTTTTTGAGAATTTTTATGAGAGTTTATTTGTGCTAAATTGATGACATATGCCATCAAGCAAGATTTCAATAGCTACCTCGTCAGCTTTCTTAATGAGAATGTAGAAAATGAAAAAATCATCTTAAATTGGTTTTTTTTCTTCCCCCGAGTTTTGAAAATTTGAAGAATTTGTGGTTATTCATTTTTATTGAATGTCAGAGTTTAAGTTTTCTTGTCTTCCCTTGCAAACTGAACTGTACAAGAGAAGGATTTTAAAATTACTAATAATTATTAAGGTTATATGTAGTATTATTAACTTCTATTCCAGTTTTGGTCTAGATAAAATCAGTTTTTGAGAATTTTGACGTAAGGGATAAGACTTTAGAAGTACTATTTTCAATCTGTGTAGATTGAGAAGCAGAAATTTTATTTTATTTAATTTATTTATTTATTATTTATTTTTAAAAAAATATATTTTATTGATTTTTTACAGAGAGAAAGGGAGAGAGATAGAGAGCCAGAAACTTCGATGAGAGAGAAATAGCGACCAGCTGCCTCTTGCACACCCCCTACCGGGGATGTACCCGCAACCAATGTACATGACCTTGACCAGAATCAAACCCGGGACCTTTCAGTCCGCAGACTGACGCTCTACCGCTGAGCCAAACTGGTTTCAGCGAGAAGCAGAAATTTTAAGTGGTAGTACTGCTCTTGTTTTTGACTAGATTGTGATACAAGGTTTTTTAAAGAAAAATATTTTTATTGATTTCAAAGAGGAAAGGAGAGAGAGAGAGTTAATAACATCAATGATGAGAGAGAATAATTAATTGACTGCCTCCTGAACACCCCCTACTGGGATCAAGCCCAAAACCCTGACATGTTCCCTTGACCGGAATCAAACCTGGTGACCCTTTAGTCTGCAGGCTGACACTGTCCACTGAGCCAAATCAGCTAGGGCCAAGGTTTTTATTTGTTTCTTTTTACCACTCTAAAGATGTTTATTTTTTTCTTTTTATTGAATTTATTGTGGTTACACTGGTTAACGAAATTATATAGTTTTTAGGGGCACAATTCTACAACACATCATCAGTACACTGTATTGCATGTTCACCATCCCACGTCAAATCTCTTTCCATCACCATTTATCTCTCCTTTACCTTCTTCTACCTCCTCCCACCCCCTCTCCTGGTAATTACCACAATGTTGTCCACGCCCATGAATTCATTCTTATTTCTTTCAATCTCTCCTTCACCTCCTAACCCCCTTCTCCAATATTTTAAATTTCAAATGAAAGTTTTGAGCTTGAAAAGTGCTTTTCAATTATTACACCAGGTTTTTCTAGTGTTAATATAATATGAGCCACATATAATTGAAAATTTTCTAATTGTCACATTAGAAAAGTAAAAAGAAATGGGTGAACTTAGTTTTGATAATATATTTTATTTAGTTCAGTAAGTCTAAAATAATCATTTCAATATGTATTCTGCAAAATAATCAAAGGGACATTTACCTTTTTTGGTATTAAGTCTTTGAGATCCGGTGTGTATTTTACACTATAGTACATCTCAATGTGGGCTAATCACATTTCTTGCATCTAAGAGGCACATGTGTTCGACGTCTATCATATTGGACTGTTCATGTCTAGACCCGGAACTGTTTCAGATATTAGCCCCAGAATAGAGCCTGGCTATCTGCAAAGAACATTTCTGCTGTACCATAGTTGAAGGTCTGTGTACAAAGCAGCACTGACCCTTCTTGAGTTACATTATTCTCTGCAGCACACAGAAAAGATTGGAAATATTGCAGCCTATGAAGGTATTTTATGAATAAAAAGTAGAAAAACATGTCAGAGTAGGTCTTTTCATGTTTGGAAATCAGTGGGGTTTAGAAATAAGAACTTGCTGACAAAGCATAGCCCTGAATATTAATTTGTTTTCATTGGGCAAACTGTATACCTGATAAAGATTTATTCTTTATTTGGTATAAATGATTTTTTATGTATGCTAAATAGCATAGGTTATTTTAGAAACATAACTTGGTTTTTGTTACTCTATACACTGCTGTGCTGAAATGTCACCTTATCAGAGACTGTCCCTGCCACCCTTCCTAAAATCCCCTCCACCTCTGTTCTTCATTCAATCTTGTCCCCTTACCTTGCTTTATTTTCTCCATAGTTCTTAATACCACCTGAGATAGATATATTTTGTTAATTGTTTTACTGGAGGCCTGGTACATGAAATTCGTGCATGAGGGCGGGGGGTTCCTCAACCTGGCTTACACCCTCTCACATTCCTGGCCCCTTGGGAGAACAGGCCTAATCTGCCAGGTGGACATCCCTCTCACAGTTCAGGACTGCTGGTTCCCAACTGCTCACCTGCCTGCCTTTCTGATTGCCCCTAACTGCTTCTGCCTGCCAGCCTGATCACCCCCTAACCACTCCCATGCCAGCCTGATTGATGTCTAACTGCTCCCCTGCCAGCCTGTTTGTATCCAACTTCCCTCCTCTACTGGCCTGGTCACCCCCAACTGCCCTCCCCTGCAGGCTTGATTGCCCCCAACTGCCCTCCCTTGCAGGCCTGGTCCCTCCCAACTGTCCTCCCCTGATGGCCATTTTGTGGTGGCTATCTTATGTCCACCTGGGAGCAGGATCTTTGATCACATGGGGACAGCCATCTTGTATGTTGGAGTGATGATCAATATGCATATTACTCTTTTATTAGATAGGATAGAGGCCTGGTGCATGGGTGGGGACTGGCCAGTTTGCCCTGAAGGGTGTCCCAGATCAGGGTGGGGGTTCCCTTGGGGTTTGGGGTGGCCTGGGCTAGGGAGCTGTGGTGGTTTGCAGGCCAGCCAGGCCCCCTGGCGACCCAAGTGGAAGTCCAGTTATCTAGGATATATTTATCTTCTTCAATTGAAACTTTGTAGCCTGGAGTGGAGCCAAGCCTTCTGCTTGCTCTATGGTGGCAGCCATTTTTGTTGGGGTTTATTCACCTTCTATAATTGAAACTTTGTAGCCTAGAGTGGAGGCTTAGGCCGGCCAGGGTGTGTAGAAAGCTTGGCTTCTTCCATCACCAGGGCCAACCGTAACCTGCTCTCTGCTCAGGGCTGCCGCCATTTCTGTTTGGATTTATATATCTTCTGTCATTGGAACTTTGTAGCCTTAAGTGGAGGCCTGGGTCAGCCAGGGTGTGTAGAAAGCTTGGCTTCCTCCATTGCCGGGGAAACTCAAGCCTCCCTCCTGCTCTCTCCATGGCCACAATGATGGTTAATTTGCGTATTACTCTTTTAATAGATAGGACTAGAGACCCAGCGCATGAATCGGCGGATCAGGGCCAGACCTGGAGGAGGAGACGGCTGGAGGTTGGCTGGCCAGCCCGCTGGGGTCGGGGCCCAATCAGTTCCTGGCCAGTGGCAGGGAGGGGCTGTTGGCTGATAGGGGAATGGGGGCCAATCGGGAGTGGGATCGGCTGGGGAAGCAGCCGTGGATGGTGGGTGTTGGCTGGCCACTCTACCCTCGATTTGGTGGGAGAGGCCTATCGGGTGGCTGGTCGGGTGAGGGGGTAGGGGCTGATCAGGAGTGGTGCCTGGTGGGGGGAGAGGCTGCGAGAGGTTGGCCGGCCAGCCCCACCCTTGGATTGGGCTGGTTTGCTGGCCACAGTGGGCATCATAGTGACCAGTCATTATGTTCATTTTGGCATTATGGTCGCTCGCTTTATATATATATATATATATATATATATATATATATATATATATATATATACACATACACACACACTAGAGGCCTGGTGCATGAAATTCATGCACTGGGAAGGGTTCCCAGAGCCCAGCCTGCACCCTCTCTAATCTGGGACCCCTCGGGGGATGTCCAACTGGCAATTTAGGTCTGAAACCAGCAGTCAGACATCCCTCTCACAATCCAGGACCACTGGTTCCTAACTGCTCCCCTGCTGGCCTGATCGCCCCCAATGGCCCTCCCCTGCCAGTCTGGTTTCCCCTAACTGCCCTCCCCTGCAGGCCCTGTCTCCTCCAACTGCCCTCCCCTGCAGTTCCGGTCACCCCCAGCTGCCCTCCCTTCCTGTCCCCATTGCCTCCAACTGCCCTCCCCTGCTGGCCTGATTGTCCCAGCTGCCCTCCCCTGCTGGTCTGGGGATGGCCATCTTGTGACTACATGGGGGCGACCATCTTGTGTATGAGGGCATGATGGTCAATTTGCATGTTACCTCTTTTTTATATAGGATTATCTCTCATGATTAGAATTTCACTTCCATGAGAGCAGAGACTTTTATTTACTGTTGTATTGTCAGCATGTAGAATAGTACATGGTTTAAAAGAAGTATTTAATAAGTATTTATTGGATAAATAAATCATTTTCTTAATTATGAATTTTAATTTCTGAAAGACTGGCAAAAATGAAAAGCTAGTATCAGGTTTGTAACAAAAATTTGAAATGTTTAAAGTTTAATAATTTTTTGGTTAAACTCTAATATAGTATAGTATATAAGTCACATTCCATATAATGCATATGTTTTTTCTTAAATAGAAATTTGACCTAGGATCTGTAATAGGTGTAAAAAAGTTACTACACAATTCTCCCCAAGTTTCCTTTAATGGTTTCAAGATTTCTTCCACAGTTATATAAAAGCTGTGTTTTGGTGTTCCTCAGACCATCCACATTTTGTGGTTTGCTAGGACTCATAAGACAGGGTATATAGTCTCACTGGTAAAGTTCATTATATTAAAAGGATGCATGGTAGTCAACAGCATTGGGAAAAGACAGGGAGAGTCTGGAGAAATTCATGAATGGGTTTCTGATGCCCTCTCCCTCCCGTGAGGGGACATACCAAGTGTGCTCCTTTCTCCAACAGTGAAAAATGCAGTAATTGTGTGCAATGTTTATGCCCAGAAAAGCCTGTTAAAGACTTGGCCCTCAATATTTTTATTGGGAGCAGGTAACATAGGTACCCTTTGCCTAGTAACTTACGAAATTCCAGATTCCTGGAGAGAAGCAAGTCTCAGCATAAATGGCCTTGTTTAAAGGACTGAGGGATTACTTTGAAAGCCAAGTTCTGGACACCAGCCAAGGATCAACCTTGCAAGCAGGTTTTTCAAAGATAGCAGCTTTAGGCCTGCTAGCTGAGTTCTGTCTCCTGCATAAGGAGCAAACCATGATGAGAATGTATAATCCTAGTTGGAGGGTGGGCAACTTCTTCCCCCGAACACGTATCGGGGGACAATTAGTGAATTGCTGAAAGTACATTTGAAGGAATTTGGAAAAGAAAAAGGGCTTTATGTTTTATGAGGCCATGAATGACATATTTCCCACTAGTTTCTAGGAGTAACCTTGTTCTACCTGCTGTCTCTTTCTGGTTGCAGAATCAAGGCTGCCATCCCAAGCATAAAATTCTGCTTGGATAATGGAGCCAAGTCAGTTGTTCTTATGAGCCACCTGGGTCGGCCTGATGGTGTCCCCATGCCTGACAAGTACTCTTTGGAGCCAGTTGCTGTAGAACTCAAATCTCTGCTGGGCAAGTAAGTGCCAGCTCTGGAGCTGGTGGGCGTTGTGACAGGAGATGTGTCAAGCACATTGTCACTGGTTCTTAAGTTTCAGACTGCTTAAGTCTCTCTATCTCACGCTCTCCCCAGGGATGTTTTATTCTTGAAGGATTGCGTGGGGCCCGAAGTGGAGAAAGCTTGTGCTGCCCCAGCTGCTGGGTCTGTCATCCTGTTGGAAAACCTTCGGTTTCATGTGGAAGAAGAAGGGAAGGGAAAAGATGCTTCTGGGAACAAGGTAGGATCTGTGATTTTAAAAATTTATTGATATATTTTGATGTATTTCAGAGAGGAAGGGAGAGGGAGAGATAGAAGCATTAATGATGAGAATCATTGATCGACTGCCTCCTGCATGCCCCCTACTGGGGGTCGAGCCCACAACCTGGACATGTGCCCTTGAGCAGAATCAAACCCAGGACCCTTCAGTCCACAGGCTGATTGATGCTCTACCTAACTGAGCCAAGCCTGCTAGGGTGGACCTGTGATTTTTGACAGTGCTGTGAGGAGGGCTGAGTCTGTAAGAGACTGATTGAAGAATAGAGGAAGATCGTGTTTATTTTTCCATAGACAGCTTTTTATTGAAGTGTAACATACATATCAAAATGCACAAATGCACAGCTTGATCAATTACCAAAAAGAAAACTAGCTGAAACCGGTTTGGCTCATTGGATAGAGCGTCAGACTGCGGACGGAAAGGTCTCAGGTTCAATTTCGGTCAAGGGCATGCACCTTGGTTGTGGGCACATCCCCAGTAGAGGGTGTGCATGAGGAAGATGATTGATGATTCTCTCTCATCGATGTTTCTAACTCTCTATCCCTCTCTCTTCCTCTCTGTAAAAAAAAAATCAATAAAATATATTTTTAAAAAAAGTAAACTAATACCTGTGTAACTACCACCTAGATTAAGGAATAGAGGTTCAAGGAGTTTTGAAAACCTTTGAAAAATATGTGAACAACATTTGGGTTTCAGAGTATTCAGTGAACATGCTGTTTCCAACTGTCCATTTGTCACACACCTGGTCTATGGTATGCAATAATTTTCTTTCTTACACGATGTCATAATCCTATCAAAGGATTCCCAAGTGCTGAGGGCAGATGTTCATAGATGGTTTTGGGGATGAGTGTCCATGCACCACCAGGTGTTCTTCCAGCAGAGTCAATTTTACATTTTTTTGTTTGTTTTTCAATGCTGGAACAGTTTTCCTAAGCAATAGGACCTAGCATGTTATTGAAGGACAATCTATTCTTATTTGAAGAGGGCGGGGGGATTAACTTAAAACTTGAGCTTGGTATTTTTAAAACAGTAGGTTAAATTTGATATAATTTCTGTAAAAATATTTTTATTAATTTCAGATAGGAAGGGAGAGGGAGAGAGAGATAGAAACATCAGTGATGAGACAGAATCATTGATTGGCTGCTTCCTGCATGTTCCACACTGGGGATTGAATCCTGACTGGGAATCGAACCACAACCTCCTGATTCATAGGTCAATGCTCAACCACTAGCCATACTGGCTGGGCTATTTTGGTTTCCTTATAAAAGAATTTGTGAGCAGAAAAAGTACTTTCCTAAGTCAAGTGGTAAGGGACAGTGATTGTAGTTGGGTAAATAATGGTTGTACTGATAATGCTTTGGATTTAAGGCATTTTTCTTAAGAATTGTAAAGCATTTTTTGTTTAGATTTCTCTTTAAGATCAGGAAGTATAAATGTGGTCATTTCATAAAGAGACTAAATTTCAGCCCTGGCCAGATAGCTCAGTTGGTTAGAGTCCTCCTGATAGGCCAAGGTTGTGGTTCACTCTCCAGTCAGGACACATATAAGAATCAGCCAAGAAATACATAAATAAGTGGAACAACAAATCTCTCTCGCCTTCCCTCCCTCCCTCATTCTCAAGTCAACAACAAAAAACCCCCTGAGACTTAGAAAGGCAGTCATTTGACTAAAGTTAGAGTCAGTGGTTCTTCTGTTGCTAAGCTTTATATATAGCTCAATCCATTAGATATACAAACTTTTTCTGTAGAAGGCCAAACAGTAAATATTTTAGACTTTGTGGGCCACACAGTCACAACCAAATATGGTCTCTGTTGGAACTACTCAACTCTGCTGTTGTCATGCAAAAACAACCATAGCAAAAACATACTCACACAATAAAAAAAGGAACCAAAAAAAAAAAAAAATTCCAAAAGCAACCATAGATAGGTAACCCACAAAAACAAGTTACTCAACCTGACAACTGGAATTCAAATATTAAAACAGCTAGTTCTTGGAGGATGATTTGGGATTTGCCTTATTGGTAGAAGGGAAGCTAAAGGCATTCTTTGAGTGCTTTGCATTCTTAAGGTCTTTTGTGTCTTGGGGAACAAGATGCTCTGAGGCTCGCGTCTCACTCTTCCGACATTTCTTTTTATTTTATTTTATTGAGTTCAGAGAGGAAGGGAGAGGGAGAGATAGAAACACCAACAATGAGAATCATTGATTGGCTGCCTCCTGCACGCCCCCTACTGGGGTTAGAACCCCCAACCGGGGTATGTGCCCTAGACTGGAATTAAACCTGGGACCCTTCAGTCCTCAGGCCAATGCTCTATCCACTGAGCCAAACCAACTAGGGCCTGACATTTCTTTTCTTTTAATAAATCTTTATTGTTCATATTATTACAAATGTTCCTCATTTTTCCCCCTCCATTGCTCCCAACCACCAGGTTCCCACCCCTCCTTCTGCCCTTTCCCCACCCCCCGTTGTCCTTATCCATAGGTGCACAGTTTATGTTCAGTCTCTTCCCGCACCTGCCACTCTCCTTTTGGGCCTGACATTTCTTAAGGTCACTGGAGTGCCTTCTTTCAAGCAGCTTCTTTTCTTAGCACCACAGGCCTTGTCATCTTGCCTTATTGTGCCTTTGGCATGATCTTCCTAGTAGAAGTAAAATGCTGACCTAAAATTTGGTGCCCTTTTAGCCCGACACTCGAGCTGCACATACTCTAGGACTTAGGGCAGGAGGCAACTGGGAAATTGAGGCAAAACCTTTTATTAAGGAAGTGAGGAACTAACCATACTAGTCTATGATTTCTTTTTTTAAAATATATCCTATTGATTTTTAAGAGAGGAAATGAGAGGGATAGAGTTAGAATCATCGAGGAGAGAGAAACATTAATCAGCTACCTCCTGCACCCCCACCCCCTGGGGATGTGCCTGCAACCAAGGTACATGCCCTTGACCGGAATCGAACCCGGGACCTTTCAGTCCACAGGCCGACGTTCTATTCACTGAGCTAAACCGGTTTTGGCTATGACTTCTTTCTTGAGTTGACTTCACATTTAGTGTCCAATAGCTTTCAATGCTTGAAGTTTCAGGAGCAGGGCATGAGTTTAAAATGGGTAAAAACAAAGCGAGGACATAAAATGTTTCCTTTATCCAGTGTCTCTGCATTGGTCTTTTAGGGGCATTCTCTTCCTTCTAGTTATTGGCAGAAGAAAAATGAGAAATGGGTTCTGATTATTATTATTGATTTCTAAAGCTCCTTTTCATGAAGAGCTTTCAATTTGCCATTTTGCCTCAAATAATTCTTAAATAGAGGGGCTATTATGCCTTTTTAATATGGGAAGATTTTAGGGATAGAGAGCAACTTGCCAAAAGTTACACTGAATTTGTGTCAGAACTGGGCTTAGAACTCAGGTCTCCTGCCATCGAGGCATTGTTTTCACTACTATATGAGTCATCTCCCAGTAGCTGATGATATTCCATTCAACAGAGATTATGGGGGCTTTGCAGTCTTTAGTTTTAGCATTAGTGTGCTTGTATTCTTTTTTAAAAAATTTATTTATTTATTTATTTAATATATTTTTATTGATTTTTTTACAGAGAGGAAGAGAAAGGGATAGAAAGTTAGAAACATCGATGAGAGAAGAATCATCGATCAGCTGCCTCTTGCACACCCCGTACTATTTTACTTATACTTTTTGTTCCTCTCTTCTTTTTTTGTAGAAGTGTATTTCTTATTTTCTCAAATGCCTAACTTCAGGAAAGGCTATATAAAATACCTTTTAGTCAGCATAAAATGTTTCTGAGGTCCTTTTCTCTTGTCATGTTTCTGTCTGCCTGCTCTGTCCCAGCCTGCTGTGTTGCTTTCATGAGGAATATGTGCGAGGACCTCTCTCTTTGCAAAAAGGCTGTGGTAGCCAGCATTTCTTCTTTTATAAGGAAAATATGAGTCAAGGAGAGAGAAGACTAATCAGAATCTTGCCCTAGAAGTAGGGGAGAGGCCAGTGAAAAATGAGATGTCATTATTAGCCTTATGTGATTAAGCAGTTAAGCCACGGGTCAGGAATCTTAGGTTTGCAGTTTGAGGGAAGGCAAAGGAGAGCAAAAACATGTAAAGTTGACCAAAAGACCTGGAATACTTGGAAGAAAGAGCAGACCCTGTTGCTAGTTGTAAATATTGATGTCTCACCAACTCAGGGTCTTTAGAGAATGTTCAAGAAGACTCTGTATGAAATGCTTTTATAGCTCTTTGCATCCATCAACATTTACTATTCTTGGTTTTTTCCTTTTTTTTTTTTTTTTTCTCTGCAGGTTAAAGCTGAGCCAGCTAAAATAGAAGCCTTCCGAGCTTCACTTTCCAAGCTAGGGGATGTCTATGTCAATGATGCTTTTGGCACTGCTCACCGAGCTCACAGGTACTACGCCGAGTCTTATTTGATGTTGAACTGGGAACAGTATTCTGTTTACTCAAGCAGCCCAGTCTCTGAGTTGCTTTTATTGACATCTGTATTGTACTGTGATTCTATAGAGTCTATCTCTAATTGTAGCTGCCACTTAGATTGTGGCTCTTGTTGAGTGTCTCTTGATACAAAGAGGAAATAAAAGTAAAAGTTGAGAATGGTGGAATGGTGGAACTTTTTTTGAGCTTCAGAAAGCAATTGCTCGTTTTCATTGTGGATGTTTCATGTAAAGTGCACCCTCTGTGAACATTGTGGGATCAGAATCTGTCAGTGGGAAGAAAATTTAGGAATCTTCTCTTGTCATCAACTGGCTGATTATTTATTGGAATTAAACCCATGGCCTGAAGACTACTAATTGGGTATATTAAATTCTGCTAAGGCAACTGCTTTTCATTTGCCCCTTGACACTGCACGATTAGTAAAAACTTTATACCTAAGTGTTTTTGTTGCAGTTTAGGGATGAAAATCATGGTCTCCTGGAATCTCCAAAATATTTCAGTGATAATGAGATGGTCTCTAGAATTGGGAGAATTAGTGGGGACTGACTACAGTTTGAATGTCTCTGGTCTTTTCTAGCTCTATGGTTGGTGTCAATCTGCCACAGAAAGCTGGAGGTTTCTTGATGAAGAAGGAACTGAACTACTTTGCCAAGGCGTTAGAAAGCCCAGAGCGACCCTTCCTGGCCATCCTGGGCGGGTATGAAGAATTTTTCAAGGTTATGCTTTCAGTAATGTGTTTGCCTAGTAGGAGGCCATAACTTGGGTGTTTATTGTTAGATAGCACAATCTGGGTAATAGAGGAGAATTTAATAGAGATTATCTACAAAGGTATGGGTAGCTTTCAGAGAAACTTACAGTAATCTGGACCAAGCAACAGCTACCCTGTTTCCCCCAAAATAAGACAGTGTCTTATATTAATTTTTTCTCCCACAGTTGCGCTAGGTCTTATTTTCAGGGGATGTCTTATCTTTCCATGCACTAGGTTTTATTTTCGGAGGATGTCTTATTTTCGGGGAAACACGGTATTACCATCCCTAGGCCTGAAGGGGCAAAGAGATGGAATGGTTTCTAAAATCCAGAGAGGGTAGTTGTATGGAGAGGGCTCTCTGATAGGACAGAGGACATAGGGATAGATATCTGTCATGGAGGGAGCCCGGGAAATAATATTCTGATGTTCCTTCAACCTCCTACTGATGTACTCTTCTCACCCCCAGTTGGCTGCAACCCAAGTAGAAGCCAAGAGGGCAAGGGAGTCCCTTGAGGAAGTCCATGCAGGTCAGCCTCTTGGGACAGAGGATAGGGCTGAGAAGGAATAAAAAATGGTTATGGAGGAAAGAATGGGAAAGGTATACTGTAGGTGCTCATTGAACAATTTTAATTTTTGATGCATTTGAGCCTTATCATAACCATATAATCTGGCCAGGAATAACTAGGAAAATCTCCTCATTTGTGTTTAATATATCATTTAGAGCTCATTTCTCTAGATCGCATACCATTTTATATTTTCTCCTATGGGTAAAGATACCATGTGAATAGTTATATTGTGATGGCTTAGTTAAAATAGAAATTTCAGAATTGTGGGTCAAGAGGCTAGCTGGGTAAATTTTAGGCAATAGAGTAGGGACAGGGACCTGATACTGCTTGGAAAAGATAACTTGCTATCACTTGGCATGGCTAACTAGACACCAGCCTCTTTATGACGGAGTCTCTGACCCGTCTATGAGCAGGGCTTTCGTTCTCATGGGAATGAACACACTCAGCATTTCCCTATGAAAGCTGACTCTGGAATTGAGTGTCAATTTCACATAGCATAATTGCTCTCCAGGTTTTGTGAGCCCAGTTTCAGGGCCTAAAAATAATTCAGGAGGGTACAGGTCATCTGTGTCTGTGACCTTATAAAGTTCAGACTGTTTGTAGCTTCCCTGGAGATTAAGAGTTGAGCTGTCTGATTTTATTTTCCAACCTTCTGTAGACATGGAATTCGGGAGTGCCACCTAGTGGTTATGATTAGGTTTTAAACTCAGCTTGAAATATTTGGGGAAGCTGATGTGAAGGGTTTTTTTGTTTTTGTTTGTTTTTATGGTTTTTTTTTTGGGGGGGGGCACCTTTCTTGCAGTGTAGTCTCATTAGACCATTAATGACTTTGGGAAATATTTTTTATTAGAAGACATTATTGTGGAAGCACTGAAATACTCACAGAAGTTGAGAGAATAATATAATAACCCCCCAGGTGCCTGTCACCCTGCTTCAACAGTTTTTGACATTTTTGCCAATTTTGTTTCATCTACTGTCTAACGCTTTTTTTTTTTTTTAAATCAAGAGTATTTTACAGCAAGCCTTAGCCCTGGCTGGGCGGCTCATCGCTCAGCACACCAAGAAGTTGTGGGTTCAGTTCTGGGTTGGGGCACAAACCTAGGTTTTGGGTTTGATTTCCAGTCAGGGTGCACATGGGAGGCAACCAATCGATGCTTCTCTCACATTGTGTTTCTCTCTCTCTCTCTCTCTCTCTCTCTCTCTCTCTCTCTCTCTCTCTCTCTCTCTCCCCTTTCTAAAATCAATAAACATATCCTTGGGTGATGATTAAAAAAAAATAAAGTAAGCCTTAGATATATAACTTCACTTATAATACTTCTGCATGCATCTCATAACTGATAAGGATACTTCTTTTAAATAACTACCTAACAGCCCTAACCGGTTTGGCTCCATGGATAAAGCATCGGCCTGCGGACTGAAGGGTCCCAGGTTCAATTCCGGTCAAGGGCATGTACCCTGATTATGGGCACATCCCCAGTAGGGGGTGTGCAGGAGGCAGCTGGTCGATGTTTCTCTCCAATCAATGTTTCTAACTCTCTATCCCTCTCCCTTCCTCTCTGTAAAAAGATCAATAAAAATATATTAAAAAAAGAAATTGACAAGATGCAGGGAATAGAGTGTCAGCCTGCGGACTGTAGGGTTCTTGGTTTGATTCGGGTCAATGGCACATGCCTAGGTTGCGGGTTTGATTCCCAATAGGGGGCACATCATCTTTATTCAGAAGTTATCTATCACCTCAGAAATGTCTTTTTATGGTTTGTTTGAATAAGGATCCAAATGAAGTCCATGTATTACATTTGGTTGTTGGGTATCTTTTATTCTGTGGTAGTCCTCTCTTTTAAAAAAAATATACTTTTATTGATTATCAGAGAGGGAGAGAGAGATAGAAACATCAATAATGAGAATCATTGATTGGCTGCCTCCTGCAAGCCCCCTACTGGGGATTGAACCTGCAACCCAGGCATGTGCCCTTGACTGGAAGCAAAACTGGGATCCTTCAGTCCACAGGCAGACTATCCACTGAGCCAAACCGGCTAGGGCAGTTCCCTTTTTAGAATTTGCATTCCATTGATTTATTGCAGAAGTAGGGAATTTGAGATATATCCCACATTCTTTAGAAGAGTTTGAGTCTCTTTACTTTCCTCTTATTTTCGACCCACCTCCCTTCCTCCCTCCTTCTCTCTCTGTATAACAGTTACTCCATTCTGACCCTTCATGATGACCAATCTTGAGAAATGAGATAAACAGTCTCTTGTCATCCATTTCCCCACATCACTATTGTTCTGAAACCCCATTTCACAAATCCTAGCATAGTGCCTTCTCACAGGGTAGCCATCATGTTTTTTATTGAATGAAGATCCAGATTTTTGTGCATTTAAGTGGGATTTCGATATATAGGAATGTGAATGGAAGGCAAGCTATTACTTAGTGAGGGACATTAAAGGTTGTGCTTCAAGTGAACTCGTTTTTCGTTAGAGCTTTTTTCTTTCACGGGAAGATGGAAGGACATCTATATTTATTGTCTTATTTCCCTCTACTAGACTATAAGCACCAAAGGGGTAAGGGTCTTTGTTTTTGTCAAGTGACTTTTCTTGAGACCTAGAATAGTGCTTGGCCCATGATAGGTACTCTGTAATATGTTGGATCAGGTAGTCCAAAAGAATAATGAATGCCATAAAGCAAATGTCCCAGTGAATATCTTTCTATTTTTGCTCAGTCTGTATTAGTTTGGTAAATAATCTGATCCTTGCTCTAGAGTTAAGACAGTTTTGAGTAGGCTCAGGGAAACCCACAATTAGCATTCTTGCTCAGGTATAATTAGTAATCTTGATCCTCTGATTTTTTTGGGGGGGGCGGGAAGAGACAAAATAGACCTATTGGAACTCATGGTTCCTTTAGATGATAGTAGGTCTTCTTAGCCATTTTTTGGTCTAGAGCCATACCATAAAAGGACTTTTTAGAAATTAATTGGCCTTTTGGGTTAAAGAAACATAGGCAAAGTTAGCCAATACTTTCATCACTTTGTGGGACAATTCTCTGTTTCTGTGCCTCGATATAAAAACTCAGGCTCTATGTATTATCACTTCCTTTGCTTGTCCATTATTGTTCTTTTAGTGATGATTCTTGCTTTCCCTTCTAGAGCTAAAGTTGCAGACAAGATCCAGCTGATTAATAATATGCTGGACAAAGTCAATGAGATGATTATCGGTGGTGGAATGGCTTTTACCTTCCTTAAGGTGCTCAACAACATGGAGGTAGGAAACCAATGACAAGTGGATGTGAAATAGCTCTTGATGAGAAATAGAAAGAAAACCAGCTTTTGACATGAGCCCTAAAAACTCCCATTTTTATTTATTTTGGCAAGTTGTTTTTCTTTTATCTTGGAATTGTTCTTTTACATTGTATTGTATCTTCTTCCTGTCTACTTTGTGAGGTAATGGTGTTCTTAGTATAAAGGCTGATCCTCATCATTTTGGTCCGTTGTGTAGATTGGCACTTCTCTGTTTGATGAAGAGGGAGCCAAGATTGTCAAAGACCTGATGTCCAAAGCTGAGAAGAATGGTGTGAAGATTACCTTGCCGGTTGACTTTGTCACTGCTGACAAGTTTGATGAGAATGCCAAGACTGGCCAAGCCACTGTGGCTTCTGGCATACCTGCTGGCTGGATGGTAAGTCACTTGGGTGGTTGATAGTGTGAGTGAACAGAAATATTTGGTATCATTCATTCAACCAACCGACAAGCATTTAAAAAAAATACATATCTTTATTGATTTCAGAGAGAAAGGAAGAGGGAGAGATAGAAACATCAATGATGAGAGAAAATCATTGATTGGCTGCCTCCTGCATGCTCCATACTGGGGATTGAGCCCACAACCTGGGCATGTGCCCTGACCAGGAATCAAACCGTGACCTCCTAGTTCATAGGTCAAAGTTCAACTACTGAGCCACGCTGGCTGGGCCAACCAACAAACATTTTAAAATAATCTCCACAGGAGGTCTGTCAGAGAAGGCTCCAAATGTTGCATTGAGATCCTCTTTAGAGGAGAATCCATGGGGGAAAAGCAATGTTATCAGATTGTTGTCTTCATAAGTAATGTGGAGACAAAAACAATTTTGTTCATCTGTTGATTTCTTAAGTATTTAACTATGTGCTAGGGATGGGGCTATTTTGAATTATGTTTTGCTATGTAGAAACCGGTATAAGAAATGTATGAAAACATAAAGATAGTAAAAGTATACGGATTACAAGCAAGGAAAAATGTATGTGTCTTTTCAAGACTAATTTAGTTGATTGTAGTTTTCAATTTTAATAGCTGTATAAAATTGTATCATGTTGACATACTAGTTGGCTTAGTCATTTTCTTTTTTTAGTCATGTAGATTTTATTTAGTTCAGTGTTTCTCAAAGTGTGGTCCCAAGAACCATTAGTATCATTTTGGAATTTGTTAAAAACAACAACAACAATGAAACAAGTTTCTGGGCCCACCCCAGACCTACTGAATCAGAAATCGTGGCAGGGGCAGGGGGGATGTAGAGCCTGACAATTATACTCAAGCCCTCCTGGTGATTCTTATGTATGCCAGAGTTTGAGAACCACTGATTTGTTCAGTATTTTTCAACTTGGTACTATTGACATCTCAGGTAGTTTTTGTTTTGTTACGGAGGACTGTTATGGCATTAGAGGGTGTTCAAGGCATCTTTGACTGGTAGGTGCTAGTGGCATCCCCAACTCCCCAGTGGTGACAACCAGAAATGTCTCCAGACATTGCCATGTATCCCCTCGGAAGGAGCAGGCTGACCCTGATTGAAAAGCACCAATCTAGTTCTTCACAGTAATACACAATGATAATAGTGTGGCTAAGAAAGTTATTTTATCAAATAACCTTTGCGGTTTTCCCTTAGACTTGATCTTCCATAAAGGGCATGAACATGTTTTTATTTTAAGAGACTGAAGAGTATCTTGGTTCTAGAAGAAATTCTAGTGTTCAGCCTTAAGTTCTGGTCCTGGTAAAGGTGGTATTTGTTTCTCTAAGTAGATTTTCTTGGTAGCTCATCCTCTCTACTAACTCTATCCCATAGGGCTTGGACTGTGGTCCTGAGAGCAGCAAGAAGTACGCTGAGGCTGTCAACAGGGCTAAGCAGATTGTGTGGAATGGACCTGTGGGCGTATTTGAATGGGAAGCTTTTGCCCGAGGGACCAAAGCCCTCATGGATGAGGTGGTGAAAGCCACTTCCAGGGGCTGCATCACCATCATAGGTAAGGGGTCATCTGTGGAGCTCCTACCAATGTGAGCTGGCAGAATTCTGATCAGAGGAAAGTAGAAGGGAAATAGGTAAGTTTTCCTGGGTTTCTTGGCACAGTGAATCTCGAGAGCTATACAGTTACATAATTTATGGAGGAACTTCTTAATGAGATGCAATTGGGGTTTCATCATCTTCCGGTTTGGGCTTGCAAGTACATGACTCTGAAGTTTTGGTTCCAATTCTTCTTTTCCTCCTTTCCCATTTTTCCGTGGCTCCCATTCAACAGGTGGTGGAGACACTGCCACTTGCTGTGCCAAATGGAACACAGAGGATAAAGTCAGCCATGTGAGCACCGGCGGTGGTGCCAGTTTAGAGCTCCTGGAAGGTGAGGATCTTCCTTGATTTTTTTGGCTTATTTGGGGGAAGGATGAGGGTTACGCCGAGAGAGGTGGGTAGAATTGAGTGGTGATAGTAGGTAGTATTGTCATTAGCAGTCATTTTTAGCTGGCAGTACATTTGGAGGAGCTTGAAATTAATCTCCTGCCATCCATTTGAGGTGGGGAGGGGCCTATAGGAAAACTATTTCTCAAAGAGGTTATGGTCTAGTTGACCTGGGACCCAAAATGTAAAAGATAGCCAACTCCTGGCCATATAAAGAAGAGGTGACATACTATTGGGAAGATAGAAAGTGATAGATCTGGCTTAGTGGATACTATAGTAATGCTGTCTCTTTGTGTGTGTTCTCTCAAAAACAGGTAAAGTCCTTCCTGGGGTGGATGCTCTCAGCAATGTTTAATGTTTTTCCTGCCTTTTGGTTCCTGTGCACATCCCCTTAGTGAACTTAGTGCTTTCCACATCTCTACTTGATATTAGCTAAAATCTTCCCCCATGTCAAGATTCAGCTAATGGCCAAGAGATGCAGCCCAGGAACACTTAAACGGTTGCACAGCATTTCAGCCCAACTTTACTGCACCCTGGACTCGCTTCCATTCTTCAGGATCCCATTTGAATTTCTTAGTGACTAAACCGTTATGCATTCTACAGTGCATATATTTATATTTTGTCTGTTAAAAAAGTAAGCTGTTAGCTTAATTCTCTTCTTGGAGTAGCTTATTCTGATTTGCTTTGTCATTGTTTCGCTACTCGCATGAAAACCAGGTGAAATTCCAGTTGTAGGGAGACAGGGAGACAAAGTTGGTCATCTGTTAAATAAATAAAAGTATTCATTGAAACTGGGATTCTTTTCCTGTCATACTTTGTTAATTAGAGAACAGACTTTTCAAAGGATCAAATTATCTACATTTCTGAATGGAAGAAATGGGGCATCTGTGGTGGGGAGGTGGGATTAGAAAAATGTCTACTCTTTTATGCCACACATTGTGATACTTTATTTTACATTTTATTTTTATCTGTTACACATGAATGTAATTTTTTTAATATATAGATTTTGTTATTTCAGAGCGGGAGGGAGAGAGAGATAGAAACATCAATAATGAGAGAGAATCATTGATCCGATGCCTGCTGTACGCCCCCTATCCCAACTGAGCTCACAATCCGGGCATGTGCCCTTGACCACAATTGAACCCGGGACCCTTCAGTCCGCAGGCCAACACTATCCACTGAACCAAACAGCTGGGGCTAATTTTTTTGAATATATGTTTTTATTGATTTTAAAGAGAGGAAGGGGGAGAGAGAGAGAGAGAGAGAGAGAGAGAGAGAGAGAGAGAGAGAGAGAGAGAGAGAACATCAGTGTGAGAGAGAAACATCTATTGGTTGCCTCCCTCATGCATCCTGACCAGGGTTTGAACCCGTAACCCTGCAGTGCACAAGACAATGCTCAACCAACTGAGCCACACTGACCAGAGCCACATGAATATAATTTAAAGTCAAGGCTTATAACAAAAAAATAGGCCTCATTTCATTGCTCCCACTTGTGATTCCCATTCCCCAGAAGTAATCACTTTCACTTTCAACTCTTAGCTTTTTTTTTTTTTTTATGGTATTTGCCGCCATATTTTGAGTAATATGCTTATTCTGTTAACTTCTTGATATTTTAAAGAAAGGTGTCTATTAATTTTATGCATGGGACAATTTAGCTCTCTTATAGACTCTTCTGCAATACTTCTATTCTTCATTCTCCCAATATAGTTTTATCATAATTCTAGATTAAATTATATAATTTTAAGTATTATTCACAGCTGAGCTATGTCATATGCTATGATTACATTTATTTATGTGACTTATTTTTTATTTTTATTTATTTTTTTATTTATTTATTTTTTTTTTTAAATCAATCTTTATTGTTCATATTATTACAAAGGTTCCTCATTTCTTCCCCCCTCCACCAGGTTCCCACCCCACCCTCCGTCCCCCCCCATCCCCCATTGTCCTCATCCATAGGTGCAGTTTATGTTCAGTCTCTTCTTCCCTCAATTTCCCCAATAGTAAATCCCTTTTCAGATAGTAAATCAGTTACTTAGCATTTTCTCATATCAATAATACCTCCACATGCCCAATGATACACTTCACACAAAAGACATTTCCCACTAGGTCAACCAGCCTCATCCAGGCCCCACCCAAGGCACTCACAGATCAACACCCCAGTCCTAAACTAACTCAACACATCCAGATCTAAGCCTTCATCACTTGATTCAGCAGACCCTCAAGTTCCCACGAAAGTTTCCAGCCATGTCTGAGAAGCAGCCGTGGGGCAGGGGCAGGCAAGGAGCGAGCTGTTCTGGGCCTGGCTGCTCAGGGCCTGGCCTCTGTTGCTCTGGTTCATTCCACAACCAGCTGCTCCGGGTCTGGTCACTGCCGCTCCCGACCTAGTTGCTCTGGACTTGGCTGCTGCTGCTCCGGGCCTGGCCGCTCCCAGCCTGGCAGCCGCTGCTCCGGGCCTGGCCGCACCCGACCCGCCTGCTCCCCCGGGCCTGGCCGCTCCCAGCCTGGCAGCCGCTGCTCCGGGCCTGGCCGCACCCGACCCGCCTGCTCCCCCGGGCCTGGCCGCTCCCAGCCTGGCAGCCGCTGCTCCGGGCCTGGCCGCACCCGACCCGGCTGCTCCCCCGGGCCTGGCCGCTCCCTGCCTGGCAGCCGCTGCTCCGGGCCTGGCCGCACCCGACCCGGCTGATCCCCCGGGCCTGGCCGCTCCCAGCCTGGCAGCCGCTGCTCCGGGCCTGGCCGCACCCGACCCGCCTGCTCCCCCGGGCCAGGCCGCTCCCAGCCTGGCAGCCGCTGCTCCGGGCCTGGCCGCACCAGCCCCGCCTGCTCCCCCGGGCCTGGCCGCTCCCTGCCTGGCAGCCGCTGCTCCGGGCCTGGCCGCACCCGACCCGCCTGCTCCCCCGGGCCTGGCCGCTCCCAGCCTGGCAGCCGCTGCTCCGGGCCTGGCCGCACCCGACCCGGCTGCTCCCCCGGGCCTGGCCGCTCCCAGCCTGGCAGCCGCTGCTCCGGGCCTGGCCGCACCAGCCCCGCCTGCTCCCCCGGGCCTGGCCGCTCCCAGCCTGGCAGCCGCTGCTCCGGGCCTGGCCGCACCAGACCCGCCTGCTCCCCCGGGCCTGGCCGCTCCCAGCCTGGCAGCCGCTGCTCCGGGCCTGGCCGCACCCGACCCGCCTGCTCCCCCGGGCCTGGCCGCTCCCAGCCTGGCAGCCGCTGCTCCGGGCCTGGCCGCACCCGACCCGGCTGCTCCCCCGGGCCTGGCCGCTCCCAGCCTGGCAGCTGCTGCTCCGGGCCTGGCCGCACCTGACCTGACTGCTCTGGGCCCGGCTGCCCCGGGCCCGGCTGCTCCGAGCCTGGCCACTCCCGACCTGGATGCTCTGGGCTTGGCTACTGCTGTTCTGGGTCTGGCTGCTCCCATCCCGGCTGCTCTGGGCCCGGCTTCTTTGGGCCCGGCCACTCCGGGTCTGGGTGTTCCTGGACTGGCCACCCTGGGCTTGGCCGCCTCCGCCTCATGCCTGGCTGCCACTGCCCCAGGTCTGGCTACTCCAGTGCTGGCTGTTGATGCTCTGGTTCTGGCTGCTGTTGTTCTGGGGCCTGGCCGTTGCTGCTCCGGGCCTGGCTGCCACTGCCTTGTGCCTGGCCATTCTAGGCCTGGCCGTCACTGTTCCAACATTGTCCTTTTTTTTTTCTTTTTAAAACGCATTTATGTTGCAATGTTGGCTGGTGAGTTGAGTTCTGACTTAGTCTTTGATTTTTCAAGATCTTCTTTGTATTCTTTCTTAAGTAATTTTACTATTTTTTGCTCTCACTTGATTTCTTCACATTGAGAACTTCTTTGGTTTCTTCCTCCTTGTCCTGGGAGCTCAGCAGGTTGGCCTGTGGCACCCCTTTGTTCTCCGCGGGCTCCTGTGCTGCTTCAGCCTGTTGCCGGGACGGCGCCACCCAGGAAGCAGCCCCTGGCCTTGTCTCCATTGCCCGAGCTCAGTGGTCAAAGGCTCAGGGGCACCCACGCCCCCATGGGCCCCGTGGCCCGCCTCCTTGCTGGTGCCCGGTTGGCTGGAGTCCGGCAGGGGCTTCCGCTCCCCTCCGCGTTCCCCCAGCCTAGAGCTTTTTTTTTTCTCCTTCCCACTAGGGAAGTCCAGCATCAGAGTCAACAGATTGTCCTCTGCGCGCAGTTTGCGCGAGTCCCACAGACTGTCCTCTGCGCGCAGTTTGCGCGAGTCCCGGGGGCCCGGCCTTTCGCCGCTCTCCCCGGACTCCACCTCACAGCCCCGTCTCCCTCTGCCTGAGCCTGGGTCCCCAGGGATTGGCCCAGAACTGGGGTTCGGAGCAGTCCGGACTGAGGCTCAGCGCCGCCGGAGGCCTTGTTTCTTTCGGCTAGGGTAACCCAGCATCAGAGTCAACATTCAGTCCTCTGCGCGCATTGCGCGCGACTCCCGGGGCCCTGCCTTTCGCCGTTTTTTCCGCCTCACGGCCCCGTCTCCTCCCACCGGAGCCTGGGTCCCCAGGGTCTGGCCCATAACTGGGGCTCAGCGCTGCCGGTTCGGGGGTTCAGCCCAGGCTGGGGGTTTTATTTCCTTCTTGCTAGGGAAGGAAAGGCAGCTCCCCGCCCTCTCCGCCTCTCCGGCTGCGACCTCTCCGTGTGCGCGTGCGGGCGGGCAGGCGCGCGCAGCATGTCTCCGTACCTTAGGCTTTTTTTCAGCTCCTCTGATTTTCTTTCTGGTTTTCTCTTTCCTTCTTGTTGTAGGAATTTCAGTCAGTCGACTACCTGTAGCTCTGGGCAATGTCCACTCTACATTTTAGTTGTATTCCATTGAAATTGTTGTGTGCTGCCGCGGCTAGATGTCTACCCGAGCAGCCATCTTGGATCCTCCCCGTGACTTATTTTTTATAGGAAATATCTTTATTCAGGAGTTCTGTTTTTTTTTTTTTTTTTTTTTTTTTTATTAAATTTATTGGCGTGAGACTGGCTAATTAGATTATATAGGTTTCAAGTGTACATTTCTCTGATACATGATATATTGCATTGTATTCCCACCAACCAAAATCAAATCATCTTCTGTCACAATATGTATATGTGTACACACACACACACACACACACACCCCTTTATCCTTTACCACCCCCTACCCTCTAGTAACCACCATATGTTGTCTGTGTCTATGAGTTTCAGTTTTATATCCCATATGAGAAAGTCATATAGTTCTTGGTTTAGCTTCTTCTGACTGACTTATTTCACTTCTGTAATATCCTCAAGGTCCATCCATGTTGCAAATGGCACTATTTTATTTTTTCTTATGGCTGAATAGTAAGTATTCCATTATATATAGGTACCACATCCTCTTTATCCAATCCTGTATTGAGACAGACTTTGGCTGTTTCCATGTGTTGGCCACCATGAATAATTTTGCAGTGAACATAGTGGTACATATATTTTTGCAAATAAATGGTTTCAAAATTTTCATGTAGATACCCAAAAGAGGTAACTCTAAATCTTTTCAGGAAGCACCATACAAGTCTTAATGTAGCTTTTTTTTTTTTTTTTTTAATAACAGCCTTTATTTATTTTACTAGTGTTCTGGTGCGTGGATTCATGCACATTGAAAGGAAATTAATTAGAAGAAATATTTGCATCTTGCTAATGAAAAGAAAATAGGATTCTACCGAGTCTCCTATCTACCTACTCCAGGACTAATGTGAAGATCAAATGAGATGAGGCACATTAAAATGCTTCACAAACATTTGGTTAAACTAAAATGTTTGCACCTGG